ACGGAAAATAAACATGGAAGTTTGGAACCAAAATATATGGAAGTGATTTGAAGAAAAGAAAGAAATTAAAAATGAAAAGATTGGAGCAGGGATTTAAACACTGAAGCTCAAGGGGTGTGGAAGTGCAGCCTTGACCATCGCGCCACCAGATATTGTTCATCACATTGCTGACGTGGTTAGGATATATCTTCTGTTTTAAATTCAGCCCAAGAATTGAGAGAGAAAAATGACAAAACAATGAATAGTGGGAAGCTTCGAACATGGGTCACGCGGCGCGACAAGCCGCCCCATTTCCATGTGCGCTACTGTGCTTGTATTGACTCCTAGTGGGACTGTTTGTATATACTCCGTATATACGAATTCATCTATAAAAACTAACCTTTCTCTTCTTCAAAAAAAGGTTGGAAACCCCCATTTCTATCCTCTCTCCAATCCGAAATTCTCCTCCTCCATCACTAATATCTCACTACTTTCTTCATCCAAACACATAAAAATTACTCCATCTTCATCATCATTTATCATATTTGGAGCTCAAGAACACATCTTCCATTTTGTAAGATTTTTATGTTTGTAATAAATATTTATTTGTTTAAGCTTCAAACTATGTACTTCTAAATTCCATTGGGGTTAGAAGTTGGTGTAATTAATTGTCCATCTTAATGTTTTGAATATTTTTAATATGGATTGTTAATTTTATTTTATTTAGATGTTGTATTTAAAAATAAATAAATTTGTAATGTTTGTGATTTTTAATCGAGGGCCCAATCATAAACATAACTGTTACAACGAATATGAGCCAAAATTGATATAATCATAAAATAGAACACTTTTTAAATACACCGTAAGCCTTCTCTACCTTTAACCGGGATTGAAGACTTTCGGGTGCACATAATTATTGAGTTTTATTTTTACACCATTAAATTGGGTAAACATACAATAAAGTATTTATGGTTGCCGTTGTTACTAAATAATTACTCCGGATTTATCATTAGCGTGTTAAAGTAAGAGTAGTTATTATTAAGGTGAACTGCGAGAGCGTCCCTAAATACTTTTCTGCAACCCCACACATTCTATATAAAAATAAATTGACAATCCAATTTTATAAAAACATTGGACAATTAATTTACCAATTTCTACCCCTAACTTTTCATCATCAAAAACTTTGTGTTGTTTGGTACTCTCTTCTTTTGCACTTTTTATTTTATCTTTAAAACAAAAAAGACTAAAAGATTTTACAACTTCTTTTGTTAACTTTTGTTTAAATTAAATTAACTCGCGTCTTCCTAAGGTTCGACACCGTACTTACAAGGGATTTTTTTTAGTTGTTATTTTTGCCCATTCTATACTGCAAATGAACTTGGCGCCTTTGTCGGGGAGACGGTTTGAGTTTTTTATTTTAAACATAAGTTTTATTGTTTATTTGTTGTAAATATTTGTTATTATTTTGTTTTCCTAACCTCTTCTTGCAGGTACTAAAAAACAAAAAAAAACACACTAAAAAAACTAAAACAAAACAAAAGAATAACAAAAAAAACTCTTTGAGTTCCTTTACTCGTGAACATTTATTGGACTTGGACATATTGACTTGGACATATTGGACATACCTGGACATATTGAATTATCCCACTGGTTGAATTTTCCGCCAACGGTGATTGGACATTTTTTTTTCTTTAGTTTGCCCGCTGACTGGCAAAGCCGTCACAGGGTTTGTACATTTAATTACTGCACTTTACATTTCTGCATTTTTTTTCTTTCTTTCCAGGCGTGCAAAGCCGCTATTGGACATTATATCTATATACTATATATATTATACATATTATATATTATATATTACATATTATATATTATATATTATTACTAACTCTTTTTATTTCTTTTAGTGTCCTCGTTGGTTTATTACCGCTTGGCACTCTAACCGCTAACTGGTGGTCCCAAAGTGGTGAGATACAAAGTCTAGAGGGGAGGGTGAATAGACTTTGTTACAAATTAAAAATCTTTTTCGTTTTTTTTGAAAACGTGAAAATGAGTGTTAATCTAGAGTTCTTGTGAGCTTTAGATTGTGTGCGGAATTTGGTGGGTAGAGTGAGCAGTAATCAATATGGATGGGTTAGTTTTCACAGTTATTATAATTGCTAGTAAGAATAAAGATAAAAGAGAGAGACACGCAAACTTTAACGAGGTTCGAAGGTGGGGTAATCCTTCTACATCCTCAAAATCCACTATGTAGTTGGTTGTTGAATAATGAACCAACAATTACACTTGTGTGAATTTCTGCACGGTATATCTTCGCAAGGCCAATGTTGCTACTGCACTCGTGCTGGCTTTATTGTTCCTTCGAAGGTCGCGCTTCTTCAACAGCTGCAAGATCCGAACAATAGGACTTGCAAGATCAACTTGTAAGAAAGTTGACCTACCCCCTTTTAATCAAGAAGTTTGATCAAAAGTTATATCCTTCAACGTGGTGTGGTACTTGAGGCAAGGAAACCTTCAAGTGTTTACACAATAGCTCTTTGGAAGGAGGAGAAGTTTGCATCTGGATAAGGAGTTTAGAAATCTCTCTTTATCAAGCTTTTTGGGCTAACTGTGAATGAGATAGCTTTGTTGTTAGAGATTCCTTCGTTGTGTTGTTATATCACATCGTATCTTCTCCAATCTTCCAAGGATGCTATTTATAGCTGGATTGGATAATCTATCCGTTGAATCATAATAGACTATCCAATGCAGTTGCTGGCTTCAATTTTGAATGAAGATTGTGATTTGAAGATTCCTCATTGGAGTGGGTGTTTGGACATACCCAATTGTTTTAGGAGGGATTCCTTTTTCCACAGAATCCGTCTTCTAGCTGTTGTTCAAGAATTCTGGACTGTAGCACTTTACTCTGTTTGTCTTCGACTGCTTGTTTAGGAATTCTGGACAGGCTCTTCAATTTTAGAGGTCCAGACTTTGTCTTCGAGTCATTTGTTCTTGAATCAGCATAATTATCTTCAATCTAGCCATTGAAAATCAAGAGATTGATTTTTCCTTACCAACGGGTAGAATTTCTTGATTCAAGACTTAGATAATTTTCTAAGTCTTTTCTCACTTGTCCGCTTTTGAGAGTTCCGGTCTTTCTTGAGGCATCCGGTTCTTGGCTGACAAATCCGGAAGAGTCATTCTCAATCTTCCGGGTGAGAAAGAAATCCGCGCTAGTCTTCCGACTTGGATGACTTAGCCTTCAGCGGGTTGTAGCGAGACATCCGGTTATCATGTAGTCTTCCGGATTGGAGGATTTTTATCTGCTTTGAGAAATCCTTACTTGTCTCTAACATTTCCGATCAAGATATCCAATTTCCATATCACAGAATTTGATTAAGTCTTCAAGCATCAAACCACTTAAAGAAATATCACAATTTTATTGGAAATCTCAAGAACTCGGTTTTAACAATATTTCTAAAAAGAAAAATTACATTAAATATTGGGGGAGACCTAAAGTCCCTATTACATTCTAAATACATCATCATCAAAATCTATAATATTTTTCCCAACAATTTCCCCCTTTTTGATGATGACAAACAAGTGTTTAAGAGTTCCGGTTGCTGTACTGAGAACTAATTTTATAACTTTCTTTTAGTTTCTCATAATATACAGCTTGTTAACAAAAAACTCTTAAACAAATACAATTCAAATTATAATAATTCCTAAACCAAGTCTTGTCTTGAGATTTGTGATATTTTCCGCCATTGACCGTTTTCATCTTCAGCAAAACTTGCTTGGCAGAGCGGATGGCAATGCGTTTGATATATCTTTAATATCCAAAGTGGATATTCAAGATCTTGGACGCAACACATCTCTCAAAAAGCAAAAACAAGAACATAAAAAAACGAAAGAAAGAAAAAGGAAAAAGGTAGAAAGACAAGAAAGAAAAGGTTTTGGAAAAGAGAATTGATTGCGAAAAAGATAAAATAAGGGTTTTTAAAGATGAAGGGAATAAAAAATTTTGAAAAAAAAGTTTAAAAAAAAATATGGTGACTAGGGAAGAAAAGATTTTGAAAAAGAGTTGGGAGAAGAGAGCAGAGACTGCACAAAGAGGTTTTGAAAAATGCTTGGGAGAAGGGTGCAGAGACTGCATAAAAGAAAAGATAGAAAAAGAAAGAGAGGGAAGGGGAAGAGATGAAAGGTAAAAATAAAAAGAAAAATAGAGAGAGAGTTGTTCTAGAGAAAGTGTATTGTGTAATCTTGAAAAATACGAGATTGGCACCATATACTTTCTCTACTCCCGAGATTTGCACCATATACTTTAAATTTCTTTTCTTCTCACTAGGCTTTTCTCCATTGCCGTCTATGAGGGTGAGAAAGAAAAATTTCTCCATTGAGGATATTTTTCTTGGTGTTTTCCTCAGACAGTGAGTTTGAAGACTTTTCATGTTGAAAGAGTTGTTTGTGATAGGAATGGATTGGGATGTCTTGATTTAAATAGGAGAGGAGGTAGAGAGAGGGGAGGTTCACGGGTTCCATTAAGTGAGTAGTTGGAACGGTGAGAGTAAAAGAGTTTCAACTTCCAAGAAGTTGAATTCTGAAAAGTTGAAAGAATCTTTTACCAATTACCAAAGTGTTGAAACTTTTTAAAAAACTCAGTTTCGTTTGGTTTGAAAAAAGTAACTGTTTTAGTTTGGCTAAGCCCAAAGAGTGGCCCAAAAAAAATAATCTTACGCACTAAAGGGAAATTATTCCTATTAGGTTCTCAAGGCCCAAAATAAAACTATCATTTTTCATTCCCTATAGTTCTAATTAGGACGAGGTAGTACCAAAAAGAATATGAAATTTATTTTTAGAAGAAAAGTGGTACTATTTTTCCAAAGTCCTGTACATTAAAAAAAATCCTAAGGACCAGTACTTTTAGAGCTAGTTGGAAATGAACTAAAGATTACAGCTCAGTTTAGGAAGGTAGATTATGTAAAGTACCTGAATCGGAGATTTCCAACTTTAGTACTAAAACTGATATATCCATCTTCCATTGCTTAGAGTTCATCAATAATTCATTGCCAAAAACAATTGTTAGCCAAAAAACAGTTAAGTTCCCCCTGAATTACATTCCCCCTGAATGTATGCGCTAGGAATAAATCTCAAAATCATACTTGAAATAAGAATAATCAAGCATAATAAGCACAATTTAGAGAAATGTTGAAGCAATGTTTAAACCAATCAAGCAATGTTTAAACAAGAAGGTGTTTTCATCAAAGCAAATTAGTGTTTTCACATACTTTCCCCCTGGTTTGATGAAAAAAGCCTTCAGTGCTTCTTGCGCTTTGAAGATCCGGCAATCTTACTGATGCCTTGCATGTTTCCACATAGTTCTTTGATGCGCCTAATGTTGTTGCGTCTCTCCTCTGTTTGGTTATCATTTGAGAAGTGAGCAGCAATTATTCCTACAGCCTCTGTTCCATCCAATCCTGAGCTGGATAGATGCTGTGTTGAGTTCTTCGGATTACTTCTCTGAGCGTCAAGGATTAGGTCAGTCATGTTCAGGTGCGAAGGAATATAAGAGACTTCTCCTTCTTTGACTGCAATAGGGAGCTCTGGAATCAAGGATGGACTGTGTTGTTGAAGAATCACTTCCATCTTGCGATTTCCAGAATTTGTGTTAAGAAGTCTGAACAGTTTGAATGCTTCCTTTTGATTGTCAATGATTACCTTCAAGTAGTCTTTGGTTACTACCTGATTTGCTGAAGACACTGCCAGGGCTGATCTGATGTCTATTTGGAGAAGAGACATCTGCTTCTGTAGACTAACTGTGACATTTTCTATTTGCTCTCTGATTTTATTGACTTCTTTGAGTTGAAGATAACTATCAGATGCATATGTCTCCATCGTGTTGCTCACAGAGTTACTTAATAGAGAGATGATCTCTAGAGTTTTATCCACTGATTTGTTTATTTCCTTGAGTTCTGAGCTGTGTTTCTCTTCAGATTTCTCAATCAGCTGGTTGTACCTGGCTTCCATCTGCTCTATCTCTTGCCTAAAGGAGGCATGTTGAGATGCTAGGGCTGATTCAATCAACCCTTGGACCTTCTTTGTCCAGATTTCCAGTACCTCATCCGGAAGTGTAGGAATGGAAGACCTATGGAAATGGAAGTTGGTTACCTGATGAGAAGAGGGTGTTCTTTGAAAAAGTTTCATAGGAAGAGATTCATCATCTTCTTGTTGGAAAACATTTTCACTTTGACATTTTTGCTAATGACAATGTTTGTTTCCGTTTAGGTTTTGATATTGACAAACCGTCGGGAACATGGAACAAAATGAAAAGATAGAAAAAGTTCTTTGAAGAAACAAAAAGCACAAGAACGGCATTGACGTTGCTAAAGATGGCGACACTGGCGCTTTGAAGACGTATTCTAAATACTTAGGTTTTTATTGTAACAAGCTCATTCAATTTCTCTACGTCATGGCTCAAAACAAAATATGTTTTTCATGCATCAAATTAATGTTTTCATAAATGGTTTTTAAGTTTCTAAAACCCATGGTTCTTTCTTAACCAAAATCATAACCATCGGTTATCGGCGTTCGGCTATGGCGTTCGGTTTTCGGCATTGGTTATTGGCATTGATTTTAACCAAATGGTTTTTGGGTTTTTATCTTTGGTTTATGCTTCTGGACACATTTAAAGGTTTTCCAAATGATTAGTTTTCAAAAACCATAACCTTTGTTTTTCGGCGTTGGTTATCGGCATTCGGCGCCGGTTATCGGTGTTGGTTTTTGG